GTAATAGCTAACCTGATATAAAGTCAATAAAGTATCACCACAAGTATAGCCTTTAACAAAAAAAAAAAAAAAAAAAACTAATTTTAAAATTATTATATGCATATTTATGAAGGTTTTGCAAAACCTTATCTTTAGAATTAATAAAAATCTTCTTCAAATGATCATTATCAAGTATATTAGCTTGGACATCGAGTTCTTCAATTATTCTTTTAAATGCTTGTGATTGAATAATCGAAAATAGCTAAAGTTCTTTAATGATAAAAGCAACTATATTATTATCAAAGTTTTTTTGTTTGGATTATTAAGTATATATTTTTTTATTTTGTTAAATGATTATATTATCATTAATTGTAAGGATTCTAACATTATAAAAAATTCACAAATATTATCCTTTACTATAATCTTTATCTAACTACCTTCTATTATAACTTATAAAATATGATATTTATTCCTTAAATAATGCTATAAATTCAAAATAGAACTATCTTTTATGTATTTTATTTTTGGAATACAAGTTTTATAATAACAGATCTAATACTTAATATTATTAATTAACTTTATTTTATAAAACTCTTTTATAGAACTACCATCTGGTCTTTTATTTTTTTTTGTTTGACTAAAAATTGGCCACTGGTTTGTAATAATATGAAAGACCAAAATGAACCTTCATAACCATTCATATCATTAGATTTTAACCCATTCAGATTATTATCTTCAGGCTCTAACACTATATTATCTTTAGGCTCTAACACTGTATCATCTTTAGGCTCTAACACTATATCATTTTCAGGCTTCAATATTATATTATCATTAGGCTTTAACACTATATCATTATCAGGCTCTAACACAATATTGTCTTTAGGCTCTAACACTGTATCATCTAAATATTTATCATTCATTCTCTACTTGGCTAATTTAAAATCTACAATCTTGATAAATTAAATATTCTTTGAATTCAGAGAACTACAATGTTTTTATTCTAAAATAAAATAATATTGTTAATTTTTTATAAAAAATATAATAGACTATAATAATAACTAAAGGATGATAAAGTAATAAATTACCAATATTTTACAATAGTAATTTCATTTGAAAGTAGATTTAGTGATTGTAATATTGCAGATGCTGAAACACTACAAACAATTTAGTGAGTATTTATTAGTAAAATTTAGTTATAAAACTTTATATATATGTGCACAATACAAAAAAAGTTTTCAATCTAGATATAATGTATTTGCTATTACTATTGTTCTTTTCTAAAAATTTTACAGAAATGATAACAACAGTTTTAAAAATTTCCATAAAATTATTAGTCTAAGCTGATTTCAGATAATGCATTAATGCTTTATGCTTATCTAATTCAGCTCCAATTTGCTTGGCTTTAACTATTTTATAAATATACTAAAACAAAATTTTTATAAAACAGAATAAATATAATATAAATCAAATAACTTGCATTTTAAAATTGTTATATTAATAATTATTATTCAATAATTGTTACATTGACTTTATCAATTTTTTCAAATTAGAAAAACAATCAAATTTTATGAATTTTATAAATCCTGTATATTATTGTAAAAACAATTGTAATATGCAGAAATCATTATATTCAAATTCTATTGTCTTCCTAATTTGAAAAGTATGATTAACTTTTATTTTGTCCATAATTGTCTATATAACCTGTTGATATAAGTTATAATTCAGGTTAAATATCTGACTCATCAGGTTATTATTATTTGACCTGAGTCAGAACACTATCTAGTAAATATCAAATTAATCACTATTTTGCATCAACTATTAATAAGTTATTAGAATTTTTCTCTAGTTTAGAATTACTAGTAATATTTGAATATAATGAAGAAAGAAAGATATATATAGCATTAATATTATCTGCTAATAATATTTCTGCTATAAGAAATATTTGTAATTATGAAAGTTATATAGTTAAATGTTATTATTACTCAAAACGTTCAAAATATATTCCTAATACTAAAAGAAACCACTATGGTAGTTTTAAAAATA